TTTTGTAAATAATATAAAGAGAAGGATTAAGACAATGATAAAATTTTCAATTCCAAAAGTCTAACACTTAAAGAATTACTTATAATTTTTCTTTCTCATTATTTTTTTATGGATAAAACATGTCTTTGTATGAAATCTAATTATAATTAAAAAATAAAAAATAAAAAATAAAATAAAAAACTCTAGGAAATGAAGGTTACATTTGTCTCTATCACATCGTTAATAAGAATGCTAAATGTTATTAATCACAAATCATATTAATTGCACTCTTAGAACTTAATTAATGTAGTCATTCACCACTCGTAAAATATGCATGTTTTACCACACTTCTTTTTGGATTATTATACCTTATGAATATGTGATCTTAGAACCTTGCAAAGAAAAACTCACTAGGAACTTAATGAAGGACAAATAGTGCATTTTTAATAGGCAGTGGCGAATCCAGAAATCTTTATATTGAGGGGGGCAAAAAAAATTATATTATAAATAAAAATACTCACAGTAAAATATGATCCTATGATACAAGCCTACACGGAAAGCTCTAAATCACAGAAGAAAAACTAACAAGAAAACTAAGAACTTCAGAAATATTCCATTGTTTTCTCATTCATGTACAATATACTCCTATTTATAGAACTACCATTGCATGAAAGCTTAACCTGCACATGGGCTATTCAAGAAACTAATTAGTAACTAACTCTTACAATTATAACCATCTAAATCTCGCAAGCCAATCATTCTATGCTAACATTTATTACACATAACAGCCTAATATAAAATGTTTGAAATAATTTTATTATAGAAATAAAAGTCAGTTCACTTAACTTTTGTTGTACTTTTTTTATATTATTAAACTCTTATAATTAAATCTGTGCTAAAGTTCAAAAAAAATAAAAAAATTCAGTATATATATTCAAATAATCATCAAGAAATTGGTTTTCCATTAGATTTCAAAGTTTGCTCTTGATTATGTATCTTCATGGTTGAAAAAGATCTTCAATAAATTCGGTAGAAATTGAGAGAGAGTACAAATAATAACTATATTTTTAAGCTTTGAAGTTATGGGTTGTAACACCTCATTCTAGAACCGGATTGTTATCATTGCCCCAGGCGCCATCCACAGGGCTGGGTGACCCAAAACAAGGTCATTTAACCTACCTATGGTTTTCCACTCATAACTTGAGCTACACTCACTCAAATTACACCATTTTGGTCTCTATGGAAAGCTAAGTGAATTGTCTACAACTTCAATACAGACATCAATGTCCAATTCCATCATATTGGGTATGAAAATTGGTCAACCGGACAGGATGCCTTCGTTTTCTCAACATTTCCCAATTTAGCACTAGGTACCTAATTTAGTTTCCAGTCAACAATCCAATACTTAATGAGCATACATATAATAAACTTAAAGTACTCATCAATTACAAATCATGTTCATTACAATTCATGGAACTTAGCTTACAAAACGCTATGATCACTCCCTTGGCTCCCATCAACAAAGAGATAACCAAAGGCATGAGCATAGGCTAAGTCCATTCCAATAAATAGAACATACATCTATCAATTGTCTATTAATTACAATCCTATACATGTGAGCTACAAAACAACATGTATAATATCAAAACATCATTTTCTTCATGCATGATCTACTGCAAATAAGGCCACTTGCCATCAGAGGCTCCTGCAGCTTCCTTACCTGAAAGGGGGTCCCCACAACACGGGGTGAGATATACGAATATATCCAGTAAACCAGGGGTCCTTGGAGCATCTCTCCACCCCACAGTTCCATATCAGTGTAATAGCAATAACAATAATAATGCAGTAAATACATATCTATGCAAAGTGCAATGCATCTCCAGGAGAAATCCCTCGAGCTCTCAGGTTGTCCTAAGGAAACTCAGATGCAAATAGTCCTACTGGCCAGCTAACTACCAAGTATGATTTACGCATCGTCATGCAACATACCAACATAGGGAAACACCATCTTATGCCACACCAAATGCATACACATACGTATAACAAAGCATTACACTATTTTATTGCATTTATATACACAATCACAACATCTACCCTTTCAGGGCTTGGTAGAACAGTCAAGGGAATTACACCCAAGGTCCGAAGGCTTACCTCAATGCTTCAGTCAACCTTTGTTCACCACCAACAGGTTCCACAGTCAGTCAATACTCTACTCCAAAACCAACACCAATTCCAATGAGCTACTCAAGCTCCATAGCTTGCTCAAACGGTTGATCACTCACGGTCGGTCCAAATGTCTCAATCCTAGACATCACAAGGACACAATCAATCATTCAACTCACTAACTGTTCAACATGCTAGAATACTAACCAATCCAAGCATGAATTTTCCAATATTGTGAACAATTATCAAATGACTATCTAGGCTCATTTCCACCGATTAAATGTCATCCTTAGCACTTTTCTCAACATGTGCTAAGTCTCAATTCTACCACAACATAGCCAATTTACTCAAATTCTCACAAAACCCATAACACTATTCATTCAAAACCCTATATCATGAAATTTCCAAGAAAACATGGTTCAAAGGTTAGAATCTTACCACCAATGGTCACACAACCAAGGATTGATGGCACCTCAAGCTTCCATGGAGGTAGAAACTCTCAAACACCTCAATTTCTCCAAAGTGCCGAACTTTTGAGGGGAAATATCTCACCACGCAAAGCTCCCCACTAAGAACTAAGCTAGGATTATGAAAGCCACACAAAGCTCCCACTAAGAACTAAGCTAGGATTATGAAAGAGGGGAAGATTTAGAGTGGTTTAGGCTTTTGAATCACTCCAATCGGTGGAGGATTGCTCCCTCCTCTCTTTCTCCTTCTCTCTCCATTTCTTCTCCTTCTCCTTCTTCGTCTTTCTGGCGTAGACGGGAATGGGAGGGTTTGGGGCTCTTTTTGGTGACTTAGTCACTTAACATAGGTTAAGTGAAATTAAGCGGGTATTGGTTCATCTATCTATTCAACTACATTAATTACCAAACTTTACCCAAAAGTCTGGAATATTTTTCTAGGAATATTTCCATTTCCATTTTTATATTTTGGGTACTTTTGCCTACACCCATTTATACCCCTTAATTTTCACTGAGTACACTTTTTACCTCCAAAGTGACTCAAATTCATTTAATTTTACTCACTAAAGCATGTTTAATTTACTTAATAACCTGTAATTTACTATTTAATTAGGTTAAGGATATTATATTCACCCCACCTTTTAGCGATTTTGTCCGCAAAATCAGGAACGTACCTATTCTTGAACTCGGGCTACCGCCAGAGAAACTCGTTCTCCCCGTTACCAACTGGACAGGTCAGGCCTTCTGCCTTCCCACTGCATCTCGACCATCAAAATGGTTTTTACCACTATACTTATACACACCTTGCCACTAGGTGCAAACCTTTGAGCTTATAAGTAATACTTGATTCCCTCAAGCCTATTTATTTTAACCCTATCAAGGTCTCTATCCTTCTGTCTGGTACGAAACCATAAACTACCATGGTCTTACCTCATCTTAATAATGTTACTTTCAAACTCCTCATCTTTAAGCAATCATAAGATCATCACCAATCTCCATATTGTGTGCTAACCCTTTCGTTAGACACACAGTCTTTTACAGACTATTTTCTCAATGATTCATTAAGACCCCTTACCTCTTATCTCACCTGTCTATTAACACCAGGTTCTTTTCCTTTCTTTTTTCTCATGTCCTATCATTACAAGGCTGTTTATAATAAATCTCACCAAAATTTTCTATTTCGTGAACTAGTCTTTTCATTACAACTTTGAACCCTTTCTAAGTTTTCGATCTAATATTAGTCATTTTTCTAATATTACTGTCCACATGTGCTTTAGTACATCAGCCTTCTCACTGATAATATCCACTACATTTGTAATAGACCATCAGTCCTTTCACCGATGACCCTATCAGTCTTTACACTGATAATACAACCCTTACCTAAACTTTTAATTAGATATTAGTCATTTCACTAATATCGTGCACCAATCCTTTCACTGGCACGTACATCAGTCCTTCCACCGATGATTTTATCAGTCCTTTCACTGATTTCACATATTAGTCCTTTCACTCACATGGCACACCGGTCCTTTCACTGATGATTTTATCAGTCCTTTCACTGATTTCGCATATATCAGTCCTTTCACTGACATGGCACACCAGTCCTTTCACTGATGATTTTATCAGTCCTTTCACTGATGACATGTTTTCATCATTCAATGGTATATTATCCCTTTCACTAACCATACCATCTTCACTCTCACTTCATGACTTACTTTTTAAGGAATTATTCCTCCTTTTTTTTAAAAAAAAAAAAAACAATTTTTTTTATCTAGGTGCTTCCAAGAGTCACTACTCTTAGGAATTATTCCATTAAGAAAGCCTCGTATCCACTTATTCTCCTATTTAGAGAATTTCTTCGCTAATAATTCACATCCATCTTAAATGCAATTTCATATAACATAAACTCACAAGAACAATCATTTTCACACCCTCATGCAATAGTCTTTTATTCTTTGCCTCAATACATTAACATACAATCAGGCATAACTATGCATGTTATCAGACTACTTTTCTTTGTTATACCTTCACCTCCTAATGGTTTTTAGCCGTACGCTAAACCTAGAGGTTTACAGTTTGGTCCATAATTCTAGCTTTTCATTTCATTAATTCTTTTGTTAACTTTAACTTTTGTGGTTATAGGGCCTACGCTCCACTTGATCAGACTAACGTCAAATCTGTCAATTCAACACAATGTTCACTCTCACATACATTGCATGCATCATCAAGAATACATCACTCACATGCATGCATTACACTTTATGCAACAACATGTCTATCATCATTACACTGGGTGGACAATTCACAAGAAAGAAATTTTCAAATCATACCTTCAACTTGCCTGAGAGTTTCCTCCCCATCATGTGGCTCTAAGGTATAATCTTGACCTCCTACTCAAGATCCAACAATTGCGTGTACATTTGAAATCCGATCAGTCCTAGTAGGACATACATTAGCAAAGTGACCCAGTTGGCCACATTTGAAGCACGACTTTGTTTCGTACCAACATGTGCCTCTATGTGTCTTCCCGCAGGTGTCACATTTAGACAGGGGGAATTCACTCACAACTGTCTCTCCTTGGTTGCCTTTTCTCTTAAATTTATCATCAGATTGCTTCGCTTGCAATTTCTTCTTTCCATTCTTGTCATCTATTTTCTTATTCTTTTCTAAAGTAGAGTCAGTTGCTCCACTAGCACCTGACGCTTGTGTCCCATAAGACTTCTTGCTCTTTGCCACATTATAAACTTCTTCTACTTTCCGGCATTGGTTCACAAACTTGCTAAACTCTCGGATATCACAATTAGACATCTTCCGAGACATTTTCTCATTCAGACCCCATTGAAATTTAGAGGTCATTTCAGCCGGAGTAGGTAAGGCTCTCCCATAGTTGGCGTACTTCACCAATTCGTTGAATTTAGCAAAATATTGGTCAATTGACATCGACCCTAACTTTAGATCATTGTACTCGTTCTGCTTCTGCTCCCTAGCCTCCCTAGGGAAGTAGTTGTCCAAGAATAACGTCTCGAACAACCGCCAGGTGATTTCCCGGCCTTCAGCTTCTAAGGGCTGCACTGTATTGGTCCACCAATCCTCAGCTTCCTCTTCCAGCATATACACGGAGTAGACCAACTTCATTGCATCAGGGCATCTCATCACCCTGAAGATCTTCTCCATTCCCTGGAGCCATTTTGCTGCCGCCATTGGTTCATAGCCTCCCTTAAAGGAAGGTGGTTTGTGTTTTCGAAAGGCCGTCAGATTGGTGACGAACCTCAACATGTTGGCTATGACTATCAGATTGGTGACTACCCTCACCCTCATTGTTACCCACTACACCCTCTCCTTGTAAAAGAGGTGGAGAAGGCGTGGCAGTGTGAGGAGGAGGAGTGGGTTGCCGGTTCACGGGCCTAGGACCCCTCAACGTCCTCAACTCGGTCATCATTGCGGCCATGGCAGCCCGCGCATCCTCATTAGTTTTCATCAAAATTTCATTGGCATGCCGACTAGCCGCCAATTCCCTTTGCATATCGACCATAGTGGCCGTCACAGGTTCAGGTTGACCACCTGTTGCCCCTCGACTACTTCTGGGCCTAACAAGAGCAGCCAAAACAGGTTCTGGCTGAGCATTGGTGTTTGATGATCCGGGGTTGTTTCGGTGCCTCGTCATGTCACTACACATGTTACACAAAGAAGTGAGTTGATCAGGCCCACACTTAGTGATCATAAATGCAATAACCATACAGAGTACTAGAACAACTATAAAGCATCAAACACTAAGCATACTCAACAATAGCTAACAGTTATTCCCTACAAAACTGCTCTGATAACATAAAATGTAACACCCCGTTCTAGAACCGGATTGTTATCATTGCGTACGGCATTAAGCGCTGTTACAATCACATTGGTTCAATTAGAAAACCGGATAAATTTTTCCTTTTTAAACAAGCCGGATTTAAATAACCAAGTGCGTGATCATAACTATATATACTTCGCGGAATAGTGGGACTAAACTTAATATTATATTCCCATTCTACTTGACAATACTTCGTTAAATGTCTTCATCACTTTAATTATCAAATTAATTCTAAACTCCTTTTATGATTCCCATCTTCTACTATGTTATAGTATTTTTCATTAGCTACGCGTGGGTTCAAACCGCGCTCAAATCGGAGCAACGTAGCCAAAGTTATGCATTTTCTAAGAAAAGGGTGTGAAACCTCCAGAACCCCGCGCCCTTAGCGTGAGATCCACGCCCAGAGCGTGGGAAAACAGAAAGTTGGCGCCCCAAGCGTGGGAGTGGCGCCCTCAGCGTGGATGCTACTGTCTGGTCTCGTAATTTGTCTGAAAGAAACTGACCTTGAAGGTCGAGGCATGTGAGAGGGAAAAACAAAATTTTTCGAGCGGAATAACACATACCATATCACGAAACATGCTTTAGGGCATGGATGTTACCTTGTTTTTTTTCCAAAACTTGAGGATGATCAAGATGAGTCTTGAAGATGCAAGCCCTCTAATGTTGATCCACACCACCCTTTGTCAAGACAGAAGAACTCTTCTTCAAGGCCACCAACGAAAACACCAATGGAGGCAAGCTATGCGCCCAATGTGTGAAGGAGGAGGCTAGGTCAAGGTGTTTAGAAGAGTGAATATTCAGCAAGAATAGACACAAAAGTGGCGCATGGTTTTCTTTGAAAAGGCTAGGTTATTTCAAAACTCTCTTAAGAAAAACCAGATCAAAAGGAACCCACAAGGAGATGAGAGAATGAGTTAAAAAAAATCTGATTTTCTTCACTCAAATAAGGCCCTATATATAGCGCACACTAGGGGGATGAGTGGAGTTGTTGCAAAATTCAAATCTTGTCAACAACCTCCTCTCACATCCTCATGATATCAAGTGAATATCTCAACAAGAATCTGACTCAACAACCATCATATGGCCAGCCATATGGTGCGCCCGACTTGGCCTCATAACAGTCCAGCTACGTTGAGCAGTTGCATTCAAACTTGAACCAACTGTCTCACTTATTCTCTCAACAAACCAAATCTGACTGAAGCTCATTTGGTTGATCCTAAGACCATCATCAGATACCTAAATTAGCGCCTCATATCCTCACTAGAAGATTCTCAAAGATCTCCTCTTGATATTTGGGATTTGTTCCAACAAGATCTTATCTTATCCTTTTGTTATGAAACAACTTTTCATAGCCAATTCAAATTCGAATTCAAATATTTGAATTCAAACGTTCAAATATTTAAATTTTAAATTCAAATTCAAATATCAAATTCAAATTTCAAATTTCAAATTCAAAATTCAAAATTTAAACATTTGATAATTAATTTAACTAATTAAATTAATTAGTAATGTCTTGGACCATCCAAGCCCATTAACTAACCATGCGCCCTTTTTTTCTTTTGATGGGCTTCCAAACTTCTTCTTGGGCTAACAACCATTATTAGGCCCAATACCTTTAATGCTATATAGTCATGACAATAAGGTGTTAGTGTGTGACCCATTAGGCCCAACATAGCCACTGACATAAATGGGCTTGGGCCCAATAAGCCCACAACCCATCTAACGACAACACAGAGCACTAGCAATGCTTTGTTGCCCCAGAGCTAGTTAGGTTAATGACATAATCATCCTATTACACATATTTGGTTGTCGTATGTATTTCTTTTCGTCTCGGTTATCTTCCCATAAAACCTAGGGTAAGGAAACGTATCAACCCTTGCGGTTTAGGGTAAGCTTTATTCGAAATAGAGAATCTTCAATTTACTGACTCTAAAGGCAGATCATCTCATGATCTCTTTTACTATGCATAGATTCCTGAGTCCTTGTAAATGTCATCCTGATTTCTCCGGTTTACAGATAACCTAATCTCTCACAGAGATTTGACGAATTCCTTCAGCTTATCACCCTAGCCCTGTGCTCTTTCAGAACAAGCCCAACAGTATACCTATGAGTCTCCATGTTTCAGGCAGACGAGGTATACAGTCAAAACATGCCTTCTAGAACACAGTCTAGGTAATAACTTCTGGTCTAAGGAAAGACATACCCAAATATAAAGAGACTACTCTAATGATACTCTCTGTGAGAGTTCCCCATAGAGTCTCTTTGTGGGTCTGTTCAGTGCGAGCTATACCCTTATAGGTCCACCCACGACTTTAGCTAAAACATCTCCATATCTGTAGCACATGAGGTCTATACCTTGTATCCATATACAAGTAGATAAGTCGTGCTAGTCTTACCCGAGATTACTGACCCCATTCTCAGTATCTCTAGACTAGGAACATAAAATTAGGAATAAATATCCGGTATTCTTGAATCCTCATGATTGTGATCTCATCACAGATACTCAAGAGATACCTATTTTATTCCACGGGGTTTATCAAGTTATTCATAATATATTAACATTAATATCGAGACAGAATTATGAAACAAGATAAAGAGTGCTTTTATTTATTTGCGACAATATTAAAAAGGTCTACATCTATGTCCTTATTTAATCATAAGATTGTCTCTAGGACACCCAAATACTAACAACCTCCCACTTGGCCTAGAGCCAATCAGACCTAAGTCGTATACCCAAAGCCTCATAATGACTATCATGTTTTCTCTGAGAAACAGCCTTTGTCAGAGAATCAGCCAGGTTATCATCTGTGGGAACATAATCCATCTTTACATCCATTATATCAATAATTTCTCTAATCAGGTGATATCTGCGGAGCACGTGCTTAGATCTTTGATGAGACCTGGGTTCCTTTGACTGCGCAATGGCTCCAGTGTTGTCGCACAGCAACTGTATGGGCTCATCCACGCTTGGAACCACCCTAAGTTCATATATGAACTTCTTGATCCACACGGCCTCCTTAGCCGCTTCTGAAGCAGCTATATATTCAGCTTTTGTCGTTGAATCTGCTGTTGTCTCCTGCTTGGAACTCTTCTAAGATACTGCCCCACCATTTAAGGTGAATACGAACCCTGACTGTGACTTGCAGTCATCTTTGTCACTCTGAAAGCTGGCATCAGTGAACCCTTTCACTGTTAGCTCATCAACCCCACCATAGACCAGAAACACATCCTTAGTTCTTCTTAAGTACTTAAGGATGGTCTTGACTGCCGTCCAATGACCCTCTCCAGGGTCTGACTGGTATCTGCTCGTAATGCTT